GAAAATTATATAAACAGACACACCGCCGCATGCATTCACCAAAATTTAGTCCTTCAGCAATACGCCCCCACACCACATCAGAACTTCATGACAAACACCTCATTACCCTAATTCACTCACCACACAAACCACACACATCACCACCAACACACTCACTCATCTCCCCATGCACATCACACCAAACCTCACCACCAAGCATCAACCACCAATATCACTTAATCTCCCACGCACATGACCAGCAACCTCACCACCAGCATCACCACCAACATAACCACCAACATTACCATCAACATCACCACCAACATCACCACCAGCATCACACCAACAATCACTCAAATCTCCCACGCATACCACCACCAACCTCACCACCAGCCATCACCACCAACATCACTCAATCTCCCACGCACATCACCACCAATCACCAACATCTCCCACGCACATCACCACCAGCATCACCAACAACATCACCACCAGCATCACTCAATCTCCCACGCACATCACCACCAACATAACCATCAACATTACTCAATCTCCCACGCACGTCACCACCAACATCACCACCAGCATCGCTCAATCTCACACGCACATCACCACCAACATCACCACCAACATCTCCCACATCAGCCTCTTACACCAACAGAAACACCATCGCAAAAAGCAAGCGGCAGCTCAACATAACCTACAACTAACAAACTAACATCTAAGTAAAAAAAAAAAAAAAATGGGGGCTATCACTCCCCCCTCTCCCCCCCAGCCCCCGTCCCCCCCATCCCCCCCCCCCCCCTCTGGCTACAGTAATACACCTTCCTGAATGTAGTTGTAAGCCACCTGTAGCCTGGTTTTTATGACTGAAGTGTCTAACTCTGGCCTAATATGGAGGAACAGGGGGGGGAGACTAAGAATATTTTGTCTTCCACGTGATATACTTTTGGGGGGAGGAAGGTTGGTTGTGTTTTTATTGTTGTTATTGAGGAGTTGTTTCGAGTTATTATCGTTCTTGTGTTATTTCTTCAGTACAATGGGGTTTGTTTGTTGTTTCTGTGGTATGAGTAATGATTCTTCGTTAATATTATTGGTTTCTTCGTCTCCTTTTTGTCTTCCTGATCCTTCTCTTCTCTTCCTCTTTCTTTTCTCTTCTCTCCTCCTCTCTTCTCTTCCTCCTCTCTTTTTCCTTCCTTCTCTTCTTTCTTTCCTTTCTCCTCCTCCTCCTACTTTTCATTTTACTCCTCCTCCTCTTTTTCCTCTCTCTTTCTCTCCTCCTCCTCCTCATCATTCTCCCCCTTCCTCATCTTCCATCTCTATTCTCTTCTCCTCCGTCTATCCCTCGCCTCCCCTTACACGAGGACATCAAACCCACAAGTATTTAAAGGTGTGTCATTCCTTGTTAACAAAGACTGTCATTCCTTGTTGACAAAGACACTGTCATGAAGTTCTCACTCAATTGTCAGACAACAAAAGCACAATGGCGCGGTTCTGTAAATATATTTCTTCTAACCTCACTCCCCTTTCATGGCTCTCTCAGATGACAAAGTGCGGATGTCTTTCAATTTTGGGAAGATCAATTGAAAATCATATTTCATCAACACATTATTATTATTATTATTTTTTATCTCGTTGATTCTTTATTCAGCTAAATTGTTTCTTTTGACAAGTATCAAATGAGTTTTTTTTTTTTTTTCTTCGGTTTCTTTTTTGCTTCACCCTCTCTCTGTTTCGCACCCACTCTCTTTCTTTCTTTCTTTCTTTCTTTCTTCTTCTACTCAATCTTTCATTCTCTCTCTCTCTGTCTGTCTCTGTCTCTGTCTCTGTCTGTCTGTCTGTCTCTCTTTCTCTCTCTGTCTCTGTCTTTGTCTGTCTGTCTGTCTGTCTGTCTCTCTCTCTGTCTCTCTTCTCTCTTCTTCTCTCTCTCTCTGTCTCTTCTCTCCTCTCTCTCTCTCTCTCTCTCTCTCTCTTCTCTCTCTCTCTCTCTCTCTCTCTCTCTCTCTCTCTCTCTCTCTCTCTCTCTCTCTCTCTCTCTCTCTCTCGCTCATCATTTATTTTTCTTCTTATTAACATTATTATTTTTTGATAAGATGTTTTGACATGACAATTCGAATCCGTCAAACCGAATGTAAACATCCGGTTTCTAAGGTCACGTGTTGTTTGTTCCACGGTTGTTCGAGTTGATATATGAAGACACAGGATTAAATGGGGATTTTTTTTTTTTTTTTTTTTTAGCTTAGGGATTTTTGCTGTAGTTGATGTAATTGTTAATATTGTATTGCGAAAAGGAAAGACATTTTTTTTTTCTTTTGTCTGCCTGTCTGTCTCTGTCTCTATCAGTATTTCTCTCTCTCTATCAGTATTTCTCTCTCTCTTTCTCTCGCCCCCCTTTCTCTCTCTTTCTCTCTCTATCTATCTCTTTAAGTACAGAAAACAAAGAAAAAAGGAAGATAAGGAAGATATTCAAATACATGCAAAATTATTTCTTTATACATCAATTCTATTACATTAATCAGTAATTTTGATAATATGATTATTATATTATCATTTATTACTATCATCATTATTAATTACTTTTAATTACTATTATTATTGTTATCTTTACTCATCCCTTATTACTTTCATTATTATCATCATTATTCATCATTATTATCATTATTACTACTATCTTATTATTCATAATTATTATCATTATTACTATCATTATTATCATCATTATCATCATCATTATTATTACTATCATTATCATCATAATTATCATCATTATTACTATCATTATTATCATCATTATCATCAGCATCATCATCATTATACATCATTTATTATCATCATTATTATCATCATTATCATCATTATCATTTCTCTCATCTCTTCGTCCACCGCGCTTTGTCAGCTCCTTTGCTCTCTCGTTTGATTCTTTGACATAGTTAGAAATGCCAAGCGCGCGTGTGTGTGTTTACTGCTTTGAAGCGCCGGTCAACAAGCCCCTTATATGGAAAGCCTTGACACAGCTGTTTAAAAAAGGAAGAAGAGAGAAAGTCCGAAGACGATGCTGCTGTCGACGCTCGGAAAGAAAACCTCGATTTCTTCCCATTTTTTTCTTATCTCTCGACGTTCGATGAGGAGGAGAGGAGGAGGAGGAGGAGACGATAAGGAGGAGGGGAGATAATCGGAGGGAGATGACGAAAGGGATGCAGGGGAGAAGGAAGAGAGAGGGGAGAGTTTTTCTTTTTCTCGAGGTCGAATGAGGAATAGGAGGAGGAGGAGGAGGAATAAGGAGGAAGAGATAACGGCGGGGGGAGATGACGAAAGGGATGCTGAGGAGAAGGAAGAGAGGGGAGAGGCTAATCGGTGAGGCGAGAGGAGCGAACAAGAGGAAGAGGAGCAACATCTGCAACTAACGACGGCACCTCTTCGCCTCTCGAATACGCGCTGTGTACGTACTTTAGGGTCACAGCTACATATAGTCATAGCATGAAACCGGACTGCGTCACCACGCGACTTTCTCTCTCTCTCTCTCTCTCTCTATCTATCTATTATCTATCTTCTCTGTCTTTCACTGCTCTTTTCTCTCTTTCTCTCTCTCTGTTCTCTCTCTCTCTCTCTCTCTCTCTCTCTCTCTCTCTCTCTCTCTCTCTTCTCTCTCTCTCTCTCTCTCTTCTCTCTCTCTCTCTCTCTCTCTTCTTCTCTCTCTCTCTTCTACTCTATACTTTATATATATCATTATATATATATTATATATATATATATATTATATTATATATATATATATATTATTATATGTGTGTGTGTGTGTGATGGGTGTCCTGTGTGTGTGTGTGTGTGCATGTGTGTGTGTGCTTATGTATATGATATGTACATTGTTATAAATTAAGTCTATCTAATCTATCTATTTATCTATCTAAATCTATCTATCTATAGCATATCTGTGTGTGTTGTGTGTGATTGTGTTAAAACTTGTCTTCTATTTACTGAGATATTTTTTCGGTTCGATAGAAATCCCGTTTCAACATCTACTGATAATTCCTGACCCGCACCGGAGTTCAGAACCATAGACTTTACGTGCAAAACACATTGCGTAATAATTCGCATGTTTCACGACAGGTGTTATTGCCCATTAGGGAATTCACAAAGCAAAAAAAAAAAAAAAAAAAAAAAAAAAAAAAAAAAAAAAAAAAAAAAAAAAAAAAAAAAAAAAAAGAATTCAATTGGTGGTTTAATGGTGAAGTTGCTCTTCGGAAATGTTTATGTTATGGGTTCGAATGGTTTAAAAGAAAATTTATTTGTTTGAAGGACGTGCGTCTCTCTCTCTCTTTCTCTCTGTCTGTCTGTCTGTTCTGTCTCCTCTCTCCTCTTTCTCTGTTCTTATCTCTCCCTCTCTCCTCTCTCTCTTCTCTCGGTCTGTCTCTCTCATCTCTTTGTTGTCTGTCTAGTCTGTCCTCTCTCTCTCTCTCTTTTCTCTCTCTCTCTGTCTTGTCTCTGCTCTGCTGTCTCCTCTCTCTCTCGTGTTCCTGTCTCACTCTCTCTCTCTCCTCTCTTTTTCCTCTTTCTATCTTATTTGGCCATATTCTCTCTTTCCCTTTCTCTTTCTCTCTCCTCCCTCTGGTTCCTGGTCTATTCATTATGTTATAATCTGTTTAAAATCTCTCTATCTACCGAAAATCTATCTACTATCTTATCTATCTATCTGCATATCTTCTTTCTCTCTCTCCCTATCTTAATCTATCATCTCTAATCTATTATTCTGTTTTTCATCTCTCTCTCTCTCTCTCTCTCTCTCTCTCTCTCTCTCTCTCTCTCTCTCTCTCTTCACTCTTCTCTCTCTCTCTCTCTCTCTTCTCCTCTCTCTCTTCGTTCTTCTCTATCTCTCTCCTCTATATATAATATATATATTAGTATAATATATATATTATATATATATCATGTACATTTGCAGTTATATATATACATTTATATACATATGTAGCCTACCAATTAATTTCAATCTTTACATTGTTACACATACATACATGAATAATCACATGAGCAAGATAAACTCATCTATGTATGTATGCCTGTACACATGCTTCCACGTCTTGCATGTGCGTATGTGTCGACGTACATGACAGTGATATGAGGCGGGCATCGTCCATCGTCGTGGTCGTTCTTTAGTGAGATTAAGGGACGACCACACACCAATTACACCTTGTATTTACAGCACGGACGGCAGCGCAGTACATGGCCACGGGAGGACAGTAGACCCGTACATGGCACTTAAGGTGAGGTGCCAGGGGGTGCCATTAAAAGGGTGGAGGACACACCATTAACTACAGCACATGCGCCATTATGGGGCCCGCCAA